TCCTTCAAAATACAGCTCAAGTCTCACTACCCCCATTGGCTGTCTAATGACTCCCCACTTCTTGTACTTCAGTAGCACTTACTCTCCGGACCACCAATTTTACATTATCACACTCCCCCATAAACTCATTAACTGTACCCTTCTTTTAACACTTTTTACTAGGTCACATATACAATGGATATTGTCATAGTTTACACACAGTAGGTGTGCCCAATTAGTCAACTATTTATAGCACAGCACTCTAGAGTCCTCTATTTCAGAGCTTTTTTACATAGCATAATAATTACTTGTTTATATGTATTCATCTCATCTAATGAAGACTGTATGCTCCCTAGGGCCCTGTGCTACTCTGCTTAGTACTACCAAAGCCTAGCACACTGCTTCACAAGAGCAGACAATAAATAAATCCTTTTCACATTAATGAATGAAAGACTAAATTAGCTGAGGGCAAGGCGCAGTGGCTCAGACTTGTAATCCCAGCATTTTGGGAGGCCAAGGCAGACAGATCACTTGAAGTCAGGAATTCAGAACCAGCCTGGCCAACATGATGAAACCCCATCCCTAGTAAAAATATAAAAAATTAGTTGGGCATACTGGCACGTGCCTATAGTCCCTGTTACTCAGGAGGCTGAGGCATGAGAATCACTTGAATTCAGGAAGCAGAGCTTGCAGTAAGCCGAGATCATGCCACTGCACTCCAGCCTGATCAACAGAGAGACTCCATCTCAAAAAAAAAAAAAATTAGCAAAAAGAGGAGGATATTATCTAGAACAGAGATTCCAAATTAGTAGTCCATAGGATGAACCCAGACACAAGACTTTTTTCTGGCCTGCAGAGATTCATGAAAATCAGAATTAGCTGACAAGAGTTAAAAATTTGGAAATTACACACAAAATCCAGATTTCCCTTTTCCTGGGGAGCAGAGTAGACTGGAAGATCTGCCATGTGCCCTGGAAAGCAGTAACTAGCTAGAACGTAACTGCTCCTTTTACATTAGACACACTTTTCCGTCTGGCAATTTTTTTGCTTTCCCTATTTACATCACCTATCTGGCATCTGCAGGCACTGAGGTTTACAATCAATGACACTGACCCATGAATCCTTAGTGGGCTTTCTAAGCCACGTATTCAAATTTTGGCCATTTCTACTCCCTAGCCACCAAGTGTTTCCATAACCACACAGGTTTATCAAAATTTTCTAGCCTTTCCTCATGCTAAATCTTGACAAAAAGGGTCTACAGCACCGTAAAGCCAGAAAGCACAGCTTAAACAGACCCACTACTACTTGCTTAGAATGATGCTCTGATTCATGTTTCATTCAAGTTTTATTAGGTATATCCTCCACTGAAACATTCTGTTAGGGTAGACTCCTATTCAAAATATACTGTTAACAATCACTTCTCATACTGAATTAGCCAGCTAAGGGGAATTTACCCTGGCAAATTAAATTTAATAAATATTTATATAGTTTTTGTAAAATTATGCATCTTTCTAATGGTTAAGAACATGAGCACTCAAAAAAAATCTCCAAGTCTGGTACCAAATCCTGACTCTACCTCAGATTCTCTAGCTGAGAAACTCCAGAAAGTTACTTAACTTCTCTAAGGCTTTGTTTTCTTACCTTTAAAATTTGGACAATAATAGTACCTACTTCATAAGGCTATTGTGTGGCCTAAAGAGACAATGGTGGCACTTAGTATAGTGCCTGGCAGAATGAAAATAATAAAAGCAGTTATCATTTTGAGTATCTGAGTAAAAACTAGTGAAACAAGATTTCTGAATTTTAAAAAATCTCTAAGTTCTATAATACTGCTATTAATAAAGTATATGATAATACAAGAAAGAGATTGATTCTATAGGGAGACAAAAAATAACACGAGTTGAAATAATAGGGCATTATCAACTGAAAAAAAAAAAGGGCAAAAGAGACAAAGTCCAAGGAGAAATAAGAGAAAAACAAAAGCGAGAAGGAAACAGATGTGCTTACTTACAGGGACAGTTAGTAGGTTGGAATGGCCAGAAGTAGTATATGAAAGGACAAAAAATAGAGCTAAAAAGGTAGATTGGGACCAAGATTCATGCTTTCATTCAAACTGCATTTATTGAAGCTTACTAAATGGAAGCACTGTGTGCTATGGTATGAAAGAGAAAGAGATGCAAAAACTTCAATGAGGCACAATCCCTTCCCTTACAAGGGAACCATGCACAGCACATCCTTGGTGCACAGTAAATCAGCAAATGTCTCTAATAAATCCAGTCAAATGAAAAAGGCAAAAGTGTTGAAGCAGGAAGGGCTAAGAGAAACTAAAGAGTAACTACCATCTGATGGTAGACCTAAAGCCCTAACACTCCCTTCCTCTACATGTATACACACACCCGACATGGCACACGACTGGGTAATTCCTATGTAAGAATATGAATATAACACGTGCAGACAAGGAAGTAGGTTGAGCCAGGCGCAGTGGCCCACATCTATAATCCCAGCACTTTGGGAGGCGGAGGCAGGAGGATCACTTGAGGCCAAGACCAGCCCAGGCAACAGAGCAAGACCCTAAAAATTAGCCAGGTAGGCGTGGCAGCACGCACCTGTAGTCCTAGCTACTCAGGAGGATAAGTCAGGAGAACCACTTGGGCCCAGGAGTTTCAGACTGCAGTGAGCTAGGATCGTACCACTGAACTCCAGCCAAGCTGACAGAGAGAGCAAGACTGTATCTAAAAAAAAAATAAAACTTAAAATAAAAATTTAAAAAGAGCAAGTTGAATTATTTGTTGTATAACATAAATTAGCTAGTACCTCAAAAGTCTCCTTAAAGTAGTAGCTGATTCCAGGGTTGGGAAAGGAAGATATACTATATAGCCCTGGAACACCTTATTTTGCCAAAAAGAAAGAAAGTGCTAAGCAAAGAAAAGTATGGGCCAACCTGTAAGAGCTCCTAATGGCCAAAGTTGCAACAATTTGAATGACAACAGTAGCACAAAGAATAAATATCTATGAGTGCATACTATTATAAATAAATGATTGAATAAATGAATAAAAGAGACTAAAGGAACAACTCAGCTTTTCAGAAGAATATTAATTAATAAATGTCAAAGGAATTAAGGAAAAGAGAAAATCACCATTAGAAAACAGTAATAATCAGCCAAGCTCAGTGGTTCACGCCTATAATCGCAGCACTTTGGGAGGCTGAGGCAGGAGGATCACCTGATGTCAGGAGTTCGAGATCAGCCTGGCCAACATGATGAAACCCCATCTCTACTAAAAATATAAAAATTAGCTGGGTGTGGTGGTGGGCACCTGTAATCCCAGCTACTCGAGACACTGAGGCAGGAGAATTGCTTGAACGCAGGAGACGGAGGCTGCAGTGAGCCGACATGATACCCCTGCACCCCAGCCTGGGCGACAGAGTGAGACTGTCTCAAAAAAAGAAAAAAGAAAGAAGAAAGTAATAATTGCTACAATTATGACCTACCAACGAATGCTAAAATTAATGGACAAAAGTTTAAGAAGAAATAAAGTACAGTAAGTCTTCATTTAGCACTACTAACAGGATTCTTGGAAGCTGCAACATTAAGTCAAAGTACTGCATGTCTTCAAATAATATCATTTCGTTATAATGTTGGTAAGAAAAAAAATATGGTCTCACTTTATGCAGTTTTGCTTAAAGTCACAGTTTCCAAAAACCTATCGAAGTTGAGGACTTACTGTATTTGCATACGCTCAAAGTATCCTCCCAAAACATTATTATTTACAAAATGATAAATAACTTTACAATGAAGAAACCGGCAGATATCCCCTTAACCAAAGTATCACAGGTAACATTCCCATTAAGACATACTTACATTATCTATCCCCTGATATATTATGCACAAAAGGCCACATCATATCTGTATTATTCTTCCCAAAAATGTATTACTTCATTTTAATCATAAGAAAACATCTAATCATGAGCAACTTATATTGCCCAGGCTGGTCTCAAACTCTTGTTCTAAAGCAATCCTCTTGTCTTCACCTCACAAAGCACTGGGATTATAGGCATGAGTCACCATGCCCAGTCAATTTCTTAGTTTTGATAATTGTACTATGGTTATATAAGATGCTAATATTAGAAGAAGCTGATGACGTATATACGGGAACCTTCTGTACGGCTTTTGCAACTCTTGTGAAAATCTAAAATTCTTTCAAGATAAAGATTTTTTAAAAAGTCTTGGCCAAGCACAGTGTCTCACACCTATAATGCCAAAACTAAGTCAGGCCAAGGTAGGAGGATCACCTGAAGCCAGGAGTTCAAAACCAGCAGGGGCAACAGAGCAAGACCCCATCTCTACAGAAAATTTAAAAATTAGTTAGTTGACCATGGTGGTGTGCTCAGGCACTTGAGCTTGGGCAAGAGAACAAGACCTTGTCTCTAATTTAAAAAAAAAAAAAAAAAAAAAAAAAAAAAAAAAATTGAAAAATTAATTACTAGTTGAATTAATACCTTGTTTTTTTTTTTAGGTTCAGTTCCAACAGTTCTGACCTCCGGGTGTGGTT